AGCTTTTTGGCAGCTTTCCCTACTTTTACCACCCAAAAAAGAGGAACCAAACAGCCCCTAATAGAATTCTTTGGCACCCAACACCCCCACACGATAACTCCCCGTAACCTTTTTTTTTAATCCACGTAACTTTGGAAATATCAAAAATCTCCCCTTGAATTTAGGTTTTATCAGAAAATTACCAGACCTCCCTTTGACTTTGAGATTATTTTATCAGAAAATACACCTAAAATCAAGAAATGTTTTTAGGAGAATTTCTAATAAGATATAAAAGGTAAAGGGGTTTCATGATATATATAATAATTATTATTATTATTTAAGGTGAAGATATAAAAGGTAAAGGGGTTTCATGATATATATAATAATTATTATTATTATTTAAGGTGCTGGGGAGCTGTTCTGATATTGTAAAAGTTATTATAAGGGATTATATGATAATCATTCAAACTTATGAAGGTTTTCTGGTAAATTTTTTTAATATAAGAAGGGTTATTTGCAACTTAAATAGCCAAGCTTCACACCATTTTCAACTTATTAAAAAGATTAGCTTTGATACTCTGAAATGACTTAATTAGAGGGGCGCCAAATGCACGCATAACAACCACCCATGGGGGGTTGCCCATCTGGTTGGGCAGGGGAAATCCCCACCAGCCGCCGCCCCCCGCTGGTTCCCTCTAGATGTACGGAGTTTAGGTGGGGCCCCCCTCTCAGCTGAAGGTGTCCCCCAAACGGAGCGAAGTCGTGATGCCCTCTTGATGTCGAGCGTTAGGGGCTTGAACTCGCGCGGGTCTCCTTTCTTGATATGAGCTTTAGGAAAGGGGGTTATTGGTTGGTGTAATTTTTGGATTGAGATTTTACTTTAAGGTGTTATTCATTGTGGGACAGTGATATTGTGACAAACTGACAATTGCCCTCATTTTTTCCGAAAATTATTTTATTTCTATACAAACTTTTTTGTCCCAACCTTCAAAAATTACCTCATTCTTAACTTTGGGATAATCTTGAGAAAAATGAGGTAATTTTGAAGCACTAATCTATTAAATATCTAATATATGTTAATTATATTATAATATATAATATATCTTAATTATATTATATTATAACGTAAGATAATAAAATATTATATAATATAACATTATTGTATATCATTATTACATATATTATATTGAATTAAACAAAATATTACAATATTTAATTAAATATTATATTATTGAAATATTATATTAAATATATTGTTTGTATATTATATCAATTATTATATAATATATCATATTATTATAATATATTATATTAAATTAATTAATAACTTTAAATATAGTTATAATTAATTAGTAATTATAATATAATATATTATAGTTTACTATAAAGTAAAATAATGTAATACATTATAATAACATACCAAGTAATATGCTAAACCAATGAGGTAAATTAATTTAGACTTAATTGATAGATAAATATTGTACTTTAATAAGGTGTCATGTTATCAATCATCCCACATGAATCGTCAAATCAAACTTTCAAATTATCTAATTATCCTAAATTGTCCCACTTTACGCCACTCAAAAATATCTCAAAGTGATAAACTGTTCCATTAGAATAATTATCTCACTTAGTCCCAACTTGTCCCAACCAATAACACGTACCCCTAACTGAGTTTTCTCCTCCTCAAAAAAAAAATGCACATCTAAATACACCTATATAACTTGTTGAAAATGACTCAAATTGAGCGGTATAAAAATCATAGAAGCAGTTGCAGCAGAAGAGACAGCGGGCCAGCGATCACGCGTCGTAATTGACCGCACCATGCGAGACGGCGAAATCCGCCACCATCGAGGGGGGTTTAGTTGCGAATTGCGCACAGTGGACTGCCACGCAATTTTGAGTGGTCATACTACCAGTCAAACCCTCTGGCTATTTCTCTGGTGTTGTTATAGTATCCTATTTTGACTGGGTTTTATGATTATCGTCTTTTTCAAAGCTCAAGGGGGTGGGAAAAAGGACGAGGCCAAAAGGTCAAGAAGATGAAGAAAAAGGAGGAGGAGAAGAAAAACATATTACTCTTGCGAGGTTTTCAATGAGAGAAGCAGTAATTATGTATCTTAAGTAAATTAGCGAACGGGCCGGGGTGGTAAACGGTCGAACCGAATCGAATATTAGGTACTAAGATGTTCATATTTGTATTTGTTTAAAATTATCGAATTCAGATGCAGACTTTAATATTCATGTATGGAGTTTTTCGATTTCGAACTCGAATACTTGATATTTGATAAATATTCATGAATATTCACGAATAATTTTCGAATATCAAACTATATTTATTCCGATAAAGAATTTAATTTTTTAATGGTATTTAAATACATAAATAAATATTATTCTTTTATAATATATAATGTATATATATTTAAATCAAAATTTTCCTTAGAAACAAGATTTAAGATTGTTTAAGTCTTAAAATCAATCAATAAAATTTAAGTATAAATGGTAAGGAGGTTAAAAATATGACATCATATTTGTAATAATACAAATAATAAGTGGTCAAATTTTAAATGAATATTTGATAGACAAACGAATCAAATTACAGCTGGTTAAATTCTATTCGTTAGTTGAATACTAAAAAAATATTTGTTTAGCGGTAAATGAACCTAAGTAAATGGCCGAATCACTAATTTTCTTGTGTTTTGTTGTGATTGTTAGTTTATTTTTTTATTATCTCACCGCAGGGCTAATGTTATACGCCAAGGGTGCCCTCTGCCACACCTTCGGTCACACCCCTTCTCCCTCTACAGTGCAGGGGGCCCCACCTGAGATTTTTAAAAAAAATCTCAGGTGGGACCCCCTGCACTGTAAAGGGAGAGGCGGTGTGACCGGAGGTGTGGCAGAGGGGGTGTCTGTAGTGTTTTTCATACAGCAAACCCTAAAATTATTATTTAGGATATATAAAGTAAAACTCTGACAATCGGTTGAAGAGCGTGATCCCTAACATGACCATCATGTTGTCATGTTTGCAAATAAGCGGAATGTGTTCTAATTAATCTTGTTAATCCTTGTAAACGCGTAAAACTACAAGACATTTTGCTCCGGGCATTTAATCAGATGCATGCTTTATTATCCTAAAACGCGCGAGCGCATGCAAGGTGACATAAAGTTGCATATCAAAACATAAACATCTCTGAAAAATTAAAAAGCCAAAAAAATTACACGCCTACCCTCGGGAACCAAACCCACCCAATTACGAGTCACTCCATTAGTAGTTAACAAACTCGGAAGAGAAAAAGATGAGAGCGAGCGCGTGGATTTCAGTGCCGTCGGCCACCCTAGCTAGTCTGATCTAGAGCTCTTAGCACACAAAAAATTTATCAGAGGGAGCAATTAATTTTCCAGCGTTCGCTTCTGCCGTCTCTCTCCTCGCATCTCATTTCCCTTTTTTGCGTGTCTGTATTTCTTATCGAGATTCAAATGTCGGCGTCCCGGTCTTCTTCGCCCTGCCAGTGTTTGTTTGCGGAACCAGTGCAGCTTCTATTTCCCTGCTCCGCTTCTTATTTTATATTATGAAAATGATGACTCTGTTAATTACATTATTATTTTTGTTTAATTGTTAATGATGAGTAGATTAGTAAGGGAGACGTGCTGCTCGAGGTGGCAAGCGTGAGTAGTAACTTCTGCTCTCTCTCTCTCTCTCTCTCACTCATAAACACACATACCCACCTGTTTGCCTAAGCAGACGCTCAGCAGGACAATTAATATGGAAACACAGGGTTAATTGTAGAAGAAATGATAGAGGCACACCACCAACCACACTCCCCCCTCTCTACAGTGCAGGGGGCCCCACATGTGATTTTTTAGGATACTTGTTTTGAACTTATACCCCATTAGTTTATTTTGGGTAAATTAATTACACTAAACTCCCAAGAGCTTTCTGCGTTTTGCGGTAGAACCCCAGTAACTTCTAGATTAGAGAGTGAGCCCCAAATAATTCTTGGGATTCCAGAAAACCCGCGACAAGTTTCCGCATTAATTTTGCAAATAAAACCCATAGATTAGAACCAAAAAACAATGTAAAACGAAATTTTGAACGAAAATTTTAGCAACATAATAATAATAATAATAATAAATTTATACTTCACAAAATGACTAACTTGGGTGCGAGCCGTAGGAAACATAACATACAACGCAACAGAAATTGCATATTATGTAGATTAATCAAAATTAATTAAATTCTAGAAGAACACCTGAAACATTTTCTAAATTTCTTCGATAATCTGT